GTTATGTTTATTTATTTATTTATTTTTGATAGGGAGGAACATTGTTATGTTGGTATCTCCTATTTTGAAGCAGATGGTATTGGCTTAATTATACTAAGATGTAACAAAGGAAAAGAGAAGAAAAATAACATTCCATGAAAATTGAGTAATTTGTACGAACTCGGGTTTAGACTGGAACTCTTAGTTGACTGTTAGTTCACAATATCTAATCCATGGTATTGATTCAATTTTTTTAAGGTATTACCTTTTTTCTTGCACTTGTTAATTTGGACTTCAGTGTATAATCCTCTGGGTGCAGTCCACCTGCACATGGGTGAGGTAATTTTTAAGATAGAGCATGATAAGGTGGAAAAATAATCTATACACATGTGTGTATATATTTTTATATATATGATCTAATGAATTGGTGAGAACGCATTTAGATACTAGAGAGGCTTAGAGTAAGTTGTGACCAAGCCATGAATAGAGACAGAGAACATCACTGTCAGTTTTCTGTTTGTATCTGTTTGTATCTAGTTTTTTGCACTATACAAGTACCAAGTAGAAAGTTTCATCCATGGATTATAATTGTTAATTCTGCAAGTTTAATTCTTGCTTGTTTAATCTGGATGCTGGTTATACAATGAACATATTAATATCATGAGTCTGAAATGTATACCATGAACATATGAGGTTTTAAAGAATGTTTGAGAGCGAGGCACTGAAAGATTAGAATTCTTAGGATATTTGGATATTTGGATGTGATTAGTGTTTACATTATAATGGGCTGCCTTTGGTTATTCATTTCATGTTATTTTTGTAAAGGTTAAAAATGTCAGAAGTTAACTCTCAAGTACTAGTTAACTCTAAGTACCATTTGAGAGCAAGGCATCACAACAATTATTGCCACCTACCAACTCACCTACCAACTCACCTTCTCCCCCCTCTAATCAAAATGTTATTGACTTAGAAGAATAGTCTAATACTTGTGGAGGAACTAAAAGGAAAACTAGTGTTGTGTGGGAACACTTTAAGAAACAACAAGTCAATGGGGTGTAGAAGGCAATATGTAATTATTGTAATCAACATCTTGGAGGTGATTCAAAAAATAGAACTAGGCATTTGCATGATCACTTTAAGAGTCGTACTAGGAAAAAAGTGTTGGATATGAGGCAAAAAGTTTTAACCAACAACTTTAATAGAGAGAGTCCAAAATGAATTCTTATATTTTTTATCAAGATTTTGCTAGGAAAGAGTTGTCACATGCCATAATATTACATGAATACCCCTCTCTCTATCGTAGATCATGTTGGTTTTAAACGATATTCAGCAGCACTTCAACCATTGTTTAAAGTACCTTCTCGAAATACGATAAAGAGTGATATTTTAAAAATTTATGATTATGAGAAGGTGAAGACATTGAGTTTGGTAGAGCATGTTAAAAGTAGGGTGACAATCACAACTAATATGTAGACTGCTAGCAATCAAAAGAAAGGATTCATAGTTGCCACCGCACACTTTACTGATGATTCATGGACATTGCAAAGTCTCATTTTGAGGTAAATTTGCATTAAGTTTGTAAATTTGCAAATCTTTTAACAGTTCTATCTTATTCGGCTCAATTTGCACATTATTAATACTTGTTCATGAATATTATATTTTAAGTTTATTTATGTTCCACGTCCACGCACAAAAGAAGTTCTTTGTGATACTTTGCTTGCATGTATAATAGATTGAAATATTGATAGAAAAATCTCTACTGTTATTGTTGACGATTGCTCTCGCTTTTGTTGGGTGGTAATTTGTTTCATATGCATTGTTGTGCGCATATTTTGAATTTGGTTGTCAAAGATGGATTGGATGTCATACGAGTGGTTGTGGAGAAAATTCGAGAGAGTGTAGCTTATTGGACAGCAACACCAAAAAGGCAAGAAAAATTTGAAGAAATAGTCAATCAATTGCATAATCCACATACTAAGAAATTAGGACTTGATTGTGCAACCAGGTGAAATTCAACATATTTGATGCTTCAGACTGCCTTGTTGTATAAGGATGTTTTTTTTCGGTTGAAAAATAGAGAGCCCCAATATAAGACCGTACCAAGTGAAGAAGAATGGGAGTTTGCTAGAGAGATTAGTGGGAGATTTAAGATATTTTTTTCTATCACCGAGTCATTTTTTGATACTAAGCATCCCACTGCCAATGTTTGTTTCCCAGCTTTATGTGAGATTAGGATGACATTGTCTTAATGGCTCTCTTGTGAAATTGAAGTGATTAGAACAATGGCATCAAAATTGTGGAAAAATTTGATAAATATTGGTTAGTGATACATGGTGTTATTGGAGTTGCGGTTGTACTTGATCCTAGGTATAAAATGAGTGTATTAGAGTTTTATTTTGAAAAACTTTATGGAGACAAAGCTGAAGATGAAGTTGATAGGGTTCGTCAGATTTGTTATGATTTGTTGCAAGAGTATCAACACCAAGTTGGTAAGGAGACCGATGTTGTTGGTGACTCTTCTAGTCATTCAGAAATTGTTACAGAGACCCTTTCAGAGTATGACTTGTTTATTAGTAGGAAGAGAAGTAAAAAAATGAAAAATGTAAGATCAGAATTAGACCATTATCTAGAAGATGATGTTTTGCCAAGAACTTCAGGTTTTGATGTTTTGAATTGGTGGAAAGCCAATGAACCAAAGTATCCGACTTTACAAGCAATAGCTAGGGATATTTTAGCTATTCTTGTATCCACTGTTGCTTCTGAGTCAGCATTTAGTACTAGTGGAAGGTTGGTGAGTCTACATCGTAGTAGACTTCATCCAAACACATTAGAAGCATTAATGTGTGCACAAAATTGGTTGTGGGGTGCAGAGATGAAAGGTACTCATATTATTATTTCATCCAATTTACATATTATTATTTCACTTTTATATTACCATGGAATAATTTTAATATTGAATTTATATTCTTTACTTTTTAGGAAATTCAACATTGGAATCGGTGGGTTATGCGACTATATATGATGATGATGAGATGGAGTCGAATGAGTCGTGTGGCACTTTTGTGTTAGTTGTCATCTTTTTTGTTTTAATTGTTAACATTTTTTACATCTTATTAATAGTATTGATTATTTGTTTTTGTTTTTTTTCCTTTTTGTTATTTAACAGAAATTCAAGTTGAAAGAGATGATGAAAGTTGTAATGTGGTTGAAAGATGATGAAAGTTGTATTGGACAATCTTATTTTTTATATTTTAATGGATTTGTTTTTTTTTTTTAATTTTATTTTTTGGGTAGCCTATCCCATACAGGCTGTGCTTAGGACTAATTATTATGTTTGCAACTTGTTAAATTTTTCTTTCTGTGGGCTGGTGGACTGAATATGCTACTTTAGTTGACAGATTATAGCTGCTGGATGAATCTGTCAACATGTTGAATTTTTTGGGTAGCCTATCCTATTGAGTATTGATTATTGAGTCTGTCAACAGATTATGCTTGGGACTAATCTACTGAGTATTGATTGTTGAGTATTGATTATTTTTTGTGTGCTTGGGACTAATCTACTGGATGAATCGGTCAACAGATTATGCTATGTACAGGTTATGTTGCTATTGAGTTCATATTGACAGATAGCATGAAAATATGTACAGATTATGTCATGCTATGCTATTGACAAATAACTTGTTGAGTACAGATTATGCTATGTTTTTGAAATTATGTACAGATTTTTTAATTTTAAAATAAGTATTGATTATTTGAAATATGTACAGATTTTTTTAATTTTAAAATATGTACAGATTTTCTTAAAAGGATGTTTAAAATTTTTTTTGAAAAAAAAAAAAAACACCCAAAAAAAAAAAAAAAAAAAACACAAAAAAAGATCTAAAGTAGGGACGGGTAGTGTGGTCCCCGCCAACCTCTCCCAAATAACTCAAACAAAAAAACAAAAAAAATGCATAAAAAACACAATCCCATAAGAATAATAACTTTATCATTGTTCTCGAAACGTAAAAAAATCGATCAAAAGCATTTGAGAACACGATGCCAAAACTGCCCAACAAATCTCTTAACATTTGAAAAAACGAATGCCATAAAAACAGAACCAATGGGCAATACAAAAATCCATAGATTCCCCATTTGCTCACATCATGCACCATTGAGGACGAAGATTGCAAGTAAGTCTTGAACTTTGTATAATCACCTTTATTTCTCCAGAGAATTTCTAATCAGGAGTAAATGTTGATTTAACTGAACCTTTACAATGTAATCGCACCTTGACACCAAATTAAAGTCTCAGCAACCTTTTTTTCACGACTCTACTTTGTCGACAGATATAAGATGTAACGTAACAGAAAATCTTAACAAATAAACCTCTGGAGATTTGGTAAAGGAGAAGATTTTCTCGAAACTTCCAAGTACTTTTAAGCCGTGTTTGGATGGGAAGCCCTTCTTTTCTTTTTTTCTTTCCCCTTCACAGATCCTAATATTCAAACATAGTCTTACAACAAACTTGAGCCGTTAGTAATCTGCATGAGTTATTCCGTTGTCGACAACCAAAAGAATCGAAATATAAATTATTCTCTAGGCCTAAAATAAGCAAAATATTTCAATAACTGAAAGTACTGAAGCATAATTCAGATAACAAAAAAAAAAAAAAGAAGAGGAAAATAGCAAATAAACAAAAAGTAGTACACAAACAGCACAACTTTTCATTACAGTGTCAATGTATATTGGTTCAAATATGTTCACTTGATATTACACACTCACACATGCAGATGTAATGTCCCTAAGTCTTACTAGGACATCCTATAGCTCATATGGACTCGTATGTGCGGCAGAACACATGCTCTAATACCACTCTGTCATAACCCAAACCTACCCCTATAGGTTTAGCATCGTAATCGGCCAGTAATCCTCGGATTACCAAAGGTCTCTGAACATGATAAACAAAATATAGAGGCTAGCGGAAGCAAATAATAAAATATAGTATCCATAGAGCTGTGCAGACATACATGAGACAAAAATTTTAAACTTTAATTAGATAAACGTGACGTCATATAAGCAACAATCTTACATCGCTTCACTTACAAATAACCAAAATGGGACTTAGCCTAACATACAAATAAAACAAAAGAAAACTTAAACGAAATTCTGGATCACAAAACATCGACCACAAGCAGGCTTCAGAACCTCCACGGGAGGCACTGTGGTTGGCTGGACAAAACTGACCTCCAGGCAACAACGTAGGCCTGATTGTGCTCCTGATCACCTACATAAATAAATAATACAGTGAGCTGGAGCCCAGTAAATAACAACAGAGCAAAGGTTTTATGAATGATGTCCAAACAATCTTAGAAATCAGAATTCATATCAGAAACAGATTCAGATTCATATACTCATCAGGAATCCTAAGCAATTATATGTGGTACATCCATTAGCCATTATATCATCTTGGTCCTAGGACTAGGGATGGCAATCTGAACCCGACCCGACGGGGACCCGACCCCCCGACCCCGAATTCAATGGTTATTTACCGAAAAATATCCCCGACGAGCCGGGGATGGTATTTAAAATTTTATCCCTGATGACATCCGGACTAGGGACGGGGATAGATTTTTGAGCCCCGGGCCGGCCCTGGCTCCGGCTTCGGCTCCGGCCCTGTTTAGTCCCCGAGGTAAATTTACTGTTTTGTCCTTGGGTATATATAGCATGCTTGTGTTTGTTTACGGTTTGACACACACACACTCAGCCTCTCACTCACACACGGCGTTGCTCTGCTCCGCTCCTCTCTCTCTCTCGCTCGCCATCGCCACTGGTTTGGTCTCCCCCTCTCTCTTTCTCTCACCGTCGCGCCTCCCTCTTCACCAGCGATCCTTCGTTACCACCGATCCTCCCTTACCGCCTCTACCGTTTACCGTTTCGCCTCCCCTCCCCCTCTCTCTCTCACACACATACGACGGGGCTGTTGCTCTCTCTCCCTCATCGTCATTCCTCTGTCGCTGCTCTCTCTGGTTAGGTATCTCTCTTTCTTTCTTTCTCTCTCTCTCTCTCTCTCTCTCTCTCTCTCTCTCTCTTTAGGGATTTCGATCTAAGGTTTACATATATGTATATATTATATATATATATATAATATCTATTTATATATTTATTTATTATGAAGCAGATCATTTATTTTATCATGAAGCAGATCATTTTCTTCAACCTTTATTTTATATATCATGAAGCAGATCATTTATATATCTGTCTAGCGTTAATATTCATTTTATAGATCTGTTTATTTTATATATTATTGAAGCAAATCATTAATATATCTGTTGATCTGTTGACTCGTAAAGGAAAAAGACAAGAGGAATACTGTTATGTTTATTTATTTATTTATTTTTGATAGGGAGGAACATTGTTATGTTGGTATCTCCTATTTTGAAGCAGATGGTGTTAGCTCAATTATACTAAGATGTAACAAAGGAAAAGAGAAGAAAAATAACATTCCATGAAAATTGAGTAATTTGTACGAACTCGGGATTAGACTGGAACTCTTAGTTGACTGTTAGTTCACAATATCTAATCCATGGTATTGATTCAATTTTTTTAAGGTATTACCTTTTTTCTTGCACTTGTTAATTTGGACTTCAGTGTATAATCCTCTGGGTGCAGTCCACCTGCACATGGGTGAGGTAATTTTTAAGATAGAGCATGATAAGGTGGAAAAATAATCTATACACATGTGTGTATATATTTTTATATATATGATCTAATGAATTGGTGAGAACGCATTTAGATACTAGAGAGGCTTAGAGTAAGTTGTGACCAAGCCATGAATAGAGACAGAGAACATCACTGTCAGTTTTCTGTTTGTATCTGTTTGTATCTAGTTTTTTGCACTATACAAGTACCAAGTAGAAAGTTTCATCCATGGATTATAATTGTTAATTCTGCAAGTTTAATTCTTGCTTGTTTAATCTGGATGCTGGTTATACAATGAACATATCAATATCATGAGTCTAAAATGTATACCATGAACATATGAGGTTTTAAAGAATGTTTGAGAGCGAGGCATTGAAAGATTAGAATTCTTAGGATGTTTGGATATTTGGATGTGATTAGTGTTCACATTATAATGGGCTGCCTTTGGTTATTCATTTCATGTTATTTTTGTAAAGGTTAAAAATGTCAGAAGTTAACTCTCAAGTACCAGTTAACTCTCAAGTACCATTTGAGAGCAAGGCATCACAACAATCATTGCCACCTACCAACTCACCTTCTCCCTCTCTAATCAAAATGTTATTGACTTAGAAGAAGAGTTTAATACTTGTGGAGGAACTAAAAAGAAAACTAGTATTGTGTGGGAACACTTTAAGAAACAACAAGTCAATGGGGTGTAGAAGGCAATATGTAATTATTGTAATCAGCATCTTGAAGGTGATTCAAAAAATGGAACTAGGCATTTGCATGATCACTTTAAGAGTCGTACTAGGAAAAAGTGTTGGACATGAGGCAAAAAGTTTTAACTAACAACTTTAATAGAGAGAGTCCAAAATGAATTCTTATATTTTTGATCAAGATTTTGCTAGGAAAGAGTTGTCACATGCCATAATATTGCATGAATACCCCCTCTCTATCGTAAATCATGTTGGTTTTAAACGATATTCAGCAGCACTTCAACCATTGTTTAAAGTACTTTCTCGAAATACGATAAAGACTGATATTTTAAAAATTTATGATTATGAGAAGGTGAAGACATTGAGTTTGGTAGAGCATGTTAAAAGTAGGGTGACAATCACAACTGATATGTGGACTGCTAGCAATCAAAAGAAAGGATTCATGGCTGCCACCGCATACTTTATTGATGATTCATGGACATTGCAAAGTCGCATTTTGAGGTAAATTTGCATTGAGTTTGTAAATTTGCAAATCTTTTAACAATTGTATCTTATTCGGTTCAATTTGCACATTATTAATACATGTTCATGAATATTATATTTTAGGTTTATTTATGTTACATGTCCACGCACAAAAGAAGTTCTTTGTGATACTTTGCTTGCATGTATGATGGATTGGAATATTGATAGAAAAATCTCTACTGTTACTGTTGACGATTGCTCTCGCTTTTGTTGGGTGGTAATTTGTTTCATATCCATTGTTGTGCGCATATTTTGAATTTGATTGTCAAAGATGGATTGGATGTCATACAAGTGGGTGTGGAGAAAATTTGAGAGAGTGTAGCTTATTGGACAGCAACACCAAAAAGGCAAGAAAAATTTGAAGAAACAGTCAATCAATTGCATAATCCACATACTAAGAAATTAGGACTTGATTGTGCAACTAAGTGGAATTCAACCTATTTGATGCTTCAGACTGCCTTGTTGTATAAGGATGTTTTTTTTTTTGGTTGAAAAATAGAGAGCCCCAATATAAGACCGTGCCAAGTGAAGAAAAATGAGAGTTTGCTAGAGAGATTAGTGGGAGGTTTAAGATATTTTTTTCTATCACCGAGTTATTTTCTAGTACTAAGCATCCCACTGCCAATGTTTGTTTCCCAGCTTTATGTGATATTAGGATGACATTGTCTCAATGGTTCTCTTGTGAAATTGAAGTGATTAGAACAATGGCATCAAAATGGTGAAAAAATTTGATAAATATTGGTTAGTGATACATAGTGTTATTGGAGTTGCGGTTGTACTTGATCCTAGGTATAAGATGAGTGTATTGGAGTTTTATTTTGAAAAACTTTATGGAGACAAAGCTGAAGATGAAGTTGATAGGGTTCATCAGATTTGTTATGATTTGTTGCAAGAGTATCAACACCAAGTTGGCAAGGAGACCAATGTTGTTGGTGACTCTTCTAGTCATTCAGAAATTGTTACAGAGACCCTTTCAGAGTATGACTTGTTTATTAGTACGAAGAGAAGTAAAAAAATAAAGAATGTAAGATCAGAGTTGGACCATTATCTAGAAGATGATGTTTTGCCAAGAACTTCAGGTTTTGATGTTTTGAATTTGTGGAAAGCCAATGAACCAAAGTATCCGACTTTACAAGCAATAGCTAGGGATATTTTAGCTATTCTTGTATCCACTGTTGCTTCTGAGTCAGCATTTAGTACTAATGGAAGGTTGGCGAGTCTACATCGTAATAGACTTCAGCCAAACACATTAGAAGCATTAATGTGTGCACAAAGTTAGTTGTGGGGTGCAGAGATGAAAGGTACTCATATTATTATTTCATCCAATCTACATATTATTATTTCACTTTTATATTACCATGGAATAATTTTAATATTGAATTTATATTCTTTACTTTTTAGGAAATTCAACATTGGAATCGGTGGGTTATGCGACTATATATGATGATGATGAGATGGAGTCGAATGAGTCGTGTGGCACTTTTGTGTTAGTTGTCATCTTTTTTGTTTTAATTGTTAACATTTTTTACATCTTATTAATAGTATTGATTATTTGTTTTTGTTTTTTTTCCTTTTTGTTATTTAACAGAAATTCAAGTTGAAAGAGATGATGAAAGTTGTAATGTGGTTGAAAGATGATGAAAGTTGTATTGGACAATCTTATTTTTTATATTTTAATGGATTTGTTTTTTTTTTTTAATTTTATTTTTTGGGTAGCCTATCCCATACAGGCTGTGCTTAGGACTAATTATTATGTTTGCAACTTGTTAAATTTTTCTTTCTGTGGGCTGGTGGACTGAATATGCTACTTTAGTTGACAGATTATAGCTGCTGGATGAATCTGTCAACATGTTGAATTTTTTGGGTAGCCTATCCTATTGAGTATTGATTATTGAGTCTGTCAACAGATTATGCTTGGGACTAATCTACTGAGTATTGATTGTTGAGTATTGATTATTTTGTGTGTGCTTGGGACTAATCTGCTGGATGAATCTGTCAACAGATTATGCTATGTACATGTTATGTTGCTATTGAGTTCATATTGACAGATAGCATGAAAATATGTACATATTATGCCATGCTATGCTATTGACAAACAACTTGTTGAGTACAGATTATGCTATGTTTTTGAAATTATGTACAGATTTTTTAATTTTAAAATATGTACAGATTTTCTTAAAAGGATGTTTAAAATTTTTTTTGAAGAAAAAAAAAAAGGGATCGTGGGGGGCGATGGGGTCCCCGGCGGGGATCGGGGCCGGGGACGGGTAGTGTGGTCCCCGGTCCCGTCCCGCCCCGTTGCCATTCCTACCTGGGACCCATATGCATAGTCGGTACCGACAACCCTAAAAGTCCATATCTTGTGCACACGTAGCCATTGTATTGTTTTCCCTAGGCAAGGGCTATATATAAGCCACAGTATTATTTTCCCCCGGTAAGGGCCATGTATAAACCTCGGTATTGTTTCCCTCGGGTAAGGGCCATATGATTATGAGCCACGGTATTGTTTTCCGTGGGTGGGGGCCATATAAACTAAGGATGCCACAGATACATTTCATAAAATTAGACATTCATTCATGATTTATAAAATAGCATTTCATAGAACAAATCATATCTTATCCTTCGTAAAACACTTATAATCAACGTATCTTTACAACGTTGTCACTCATAGATAGCTCCAATAGCAAAAGAGTCAAAGCAGTCGGATCAATAATCTATGGCGCGCAACCTACACAAACACATAACGGATACACATTGAAACACACGCTCAGAAAACACTTAACTCATTTATTTTCTATCTTAGTGTGTTTCTAATCATTATCCTCATTATTGTGTCTTAATTAGGGCTTAGGAATGTCTAAGATGCAATGAGGATACCAAAATGTAACTTGAAACACTTAGACAAATTTTCAAAAATAGGGCAGTCCACTCAAGTGCAACTTTTGTCGCGCGAGCGGTCTGCAAAGTATGCAAAAGTACTAGTTGCATGATTTATTCGCTTACCGTTGCTCGAGCGCAAGACTATGTAAACAGGGTCTTCGCTCGAGTGCAACTTCCTACGCTCGAGCGGTCTGCAAAAGTCTATAAAACTTCTGGGAGCTCTCATTTTACGCTCGAGCTCAACTTCTGTCACTCGAGCGGAGGGTCAAAAACAAGGGTGGTCACTCGAGCGCAGGTTTTGCAGCTCGAGCCAACCCCCAAACTCTGCAAAAGTACTGGAAGCTCGCATTCTCCGCTCGAGCGTAGACTCCATCGCTCAAGCAGAAGGTGCAAAATCTGGAATTTCCAAATTGCTGATACAAGTTAAAAATCCATTTGCAAAGCATCAAAACGCATCCTTTTGGGCCAAAACTTAGTAAAACTTTAAGAAACTCATAGCACATGATAAACTACAAACCATTTCACAAAATCAAGCCCAAAAACTTTGCCAATTGTACAAGCTCAAGTTTGAAACTTTGAAAACATAACATGCATGTATTTCCTTGAGTTCAAACTTTCCATATCTTGGTAAAATGAGATGTTTAGTACAAAAATATGTTGAATTCTTCAAATAGAACCAAAACATGAACATGTATGTAAGAATTCCATGGAAACAACTTCAAAATGATGTAATACATGCATACATGTATGTCATTAGCTCATTCCTTCCATGATTGTCTTGATTCTAACATGTTCTCTTCACTTTCATGCAATTACCCCTGCATGACTCATGAATTCACCTCTTATGTACTTTATCTCCAAGAATTAAAGGAGGAGTTCATACCTAAGGCGTGAATTTAAAGGATTCAAGCTTAAATATCCAAGTCTTCTACCACTCTCCTTTCAATTCTCTCTTCTCCAAGCTTTTGATATCAATCCTTACTCACTCTCCCTTACTCACATTTGTGTGTGTCCAGGAGTGAGGAAAATGAAGGCATATACAGGCCTTATATAGGCTAATTAAGGGACTTAATTAAACTTAGTTAAAGTTAATCAATTGGCATTATTTTATTCTAATTAATTTGTTCCAAATCAAATTTCAATTAAATCCACCATAATTTTCTAAAAATTCTAAATAACACATATACCGAGTCAATTTCGTAATCGGTTGCCGATAAAGCCTTCAATTCGCATAAAGAAACAAAAACACAGACAGATCTTTCTACGATAGACAGATATAAATGCAAATAACATATAACACATGCAATTAACGTAGAATTTCATCTTAATTACGTATTAGCAATCTTAATCAAGGATCATGGGCTAATCACATATCAAGGTTGTTACAAAAAGAAACACTACAAAAAGTCAATTCGTTCATTCTCTCTATTTTTTTCACATCTTTTTATAAAAAGTCTAAAATCTATTTAAAAAGCCAATTTCCAAAATAGAACCACCACCAACACCAACCCCAGCAGTCCTTGCAATCATAGATATGCCTCATCCGCTCATCACTACTACTTAATGTCTGTTGGATGTCATTCCACCAGTGCAACCATTTCCTCAACTACAACCACCCCAGTTATAGATATGCCTCTTCTTCTCCTCCTTCTTCTTCTTTTATTTGCTTTTTATTTTTTATTTTTTTAATGGTAAATACTATTATATATCATATGATGCACTCCTCTGCATTCACTTATGGTGCTCCTGCTGCTGCTGATGTTATGTACTTTGATTGAAGTAAATATATCAACTCCAAAACCCAAAACACTACAATTTGCGAAAAATAAATAACACAAAATATGCCCGTGTATCATCCAAACTCAATTTATGTACTTTGTGAAAGCTAACACCCCCATAACCGAATTAGCCGGTGAACAAAACAGGGCACTGATCATGTCACTCAAGCCTGAAGCAAAACCAAGAACCAAGCCTTAAGTTATCTTATTAGGCTCTAAATAAACTTTAAAAGGGCAATAAATACATCAGTCCCGTCAAGAGGTAGCTATGAAAATTCAGTTAGACCTTTCTCATGATATATACTACTATATACAGGTGATGGATTCAACAATACACAACACACACAAAAAAAGTATGATTCAAACACAAGGACCAGACCTAAGCACCCTCTCTAGTTTCTCGGCCTTGTCATAATCATTTTCTGTGAGAGGACCAGCAGGAAAAGGAGTGATTTCCACAACCAAGTGTGGAGTTGGGAGCTCATCAAACAAAGCTCTCACGTTGTTACAACACACACTCTCTCCATGAGCGCTCTCCCTCCTAATCTGGCAACCCTATCACAAAACAAAAGTAATCTATGATAAGCAACAATATTTTATTTTCCGATTCATGTTTTTTAACAAATATTGCAAATATAAAAAGAACAAGAACAAAACAAAGTTCTAAAATTGCTCACTGAAGTTGTATTACCTTGTGGGAAGTGGCATCTCTGAATTTATCATCATCTGATAGCAAAGATGCAATGGATTTAAGAAGGTGCCGCCCTTCTGATTTGGAAGGTACTCTGTAATTCCGCTTCAATGTACCCTTGGTCGTGGGATGCCATTTGCTTACTAGTTTCCTTCTGTCAGCAGCTTGCTTATCTGCTTGAACAAAACACCATTCAAATTATTCCAATCTCAAACAAAAAAACACAAACGAGTAGAAAAAGATCCCCATGTTCACAAAGCCTTTTGATCAAAACTAGACAACTATAATAAGTACAATATGGAACCAAAACAATCATTCAGAAGAGGCATATTTTCTCATTGTTTATAGTCTATATACCTGTACAAAAAGTTTTGTCAACAGCAATGTGCAGAAAAAACTGAAATTCTGTATTCCTATCCTCCTCGAAACTACCAACTGCAGTTCAGTAGACCACACTGACATACGGCCTTAGAAATTAATCTGTTGATGCGATTTTCAGCTATTTGGCACTTGGTATATTGAAAAGAAAAAAAGAAGCACTTCCATTGACACAATAACCACGTATTAGCAATTCTATAGCGAAGGCCATAAACACTGATCTATAAAACCATTGCTTTTAACAAATGGTTCACAGTAAACATTGTCTACAAGCTCCTCAATTGCTATACAAGAGATATAAGAAGCACAAACACTTTTGTAGAGAAGGTGTGTTGTGTCAAAAACCTTCTTCAAAAGTGTCTGACACTTCTTCAACATGTCTTAAATAGGAATGTAAATTCATAATATCAAACACTTTACAGACATTTCTCAGACACTTGGCTGACACTTCTTAAACCCTTCGAACATGACCTATGTGATGAATATCTTCATAAAAACAATATTTAGTATTTCCTGGAATATAAGTTATTCATTATAAATATGTTTTGAAACATTTATAAGATGAATTATTTGTATATCTATATTCTACAATTGTTTTGCATTTTCTAGATTGTAATTATTATGTGAATGATATTTTGATAAGTAAGTTATAAAATATAAGACTTTTTAATTTTAATTGGTGTTATATTATTGTTTTACCATTACTTTCCAACAAACTATTCATATATTCACATATAATAAATTTATAACTCTAATTTTTACCGTGTCCCCAGCATATTGTGTTCTGCATTTTTTGGACGTCGACATGTCCATGTCATGTCACAAGTCCGTGTTTATGGACGTCGTTCTAGATTGTAATTATTATGTGAATGATATTTTGATAAGTAAGTTATAAAATATAAGACTTTTTAATTTTAATTGGTGTTATATTATTGTTTTACCATTACTTTCCAACAAACTATTCATATATTCACATATAATAAATTTATAACTCTAATTTTTACCATGTCCCAAGCATATTGTGTTCTGCATTTTTTGGACGTCGACATGTCCATGTCATGTCACAAGCCCGTGTTTATGGACGTCGACGTGTCTGTGTCATGTCACATGTCCGTGTTTATGTTGAGAGAGAGAGAGAGAGAGGTTCTCATGCCCAGTTTTGAGAGCGCCCTAGCTCAAACATTCTACAGGGTGTTCAATAACCAACAAAATAAGAGACTCTTGACCTCTTCTTTTTCCCTTGGATTGGTTCGTTGTTGTAAACTTCACCAAAATAAGAAGCAATAAAATGCTATATTGAGAAGGGCTAAAACAAACTGAAACAAAACTCAGATTAGTGAATAGAACTAATATATATATTCTCATAGGTGAAACTCATGTGGGCAACACCTACAAATTGAGAAGTAACCTAGATTAAAGGGTAAATGACACCATTAGTCCATGTAGTAAAGTGTCAATTTAGTCTCCCTAATTTCAATTTGAATATTTTGGTCTCTACATTTTTAATTTTGTTGCAATGTGGTCCCTCCTTCACTTACCATTAGAATTTTGTCGTAAAATACCATTAGTCCTTGTAGTTTGTTTTGAATTTCTTTGGTCCCTTTAGGTTTGCACATGATTCTTTGGGTTCAAAATGTTAACAATGCATGACGGAGGGACCGCATTGCAACAAAATTGAAAATGTAACGGCCAAATTGTTCAAATTGAAACAACGAGAACCAAAGTGAAATTTCGATCAAACTAGAGGGCCCAATGATGTAATTTACCCTAGATTATGACACTGCAGGAGAAAATTCATTAGCCTCCAATACCAAAAGGTGCATAGCGTCCACTATGAAGATATATCCTATGCATTTGTGACCTACAGGCCAAAACAGAAAACCAGATACACACAAAGGCCTGGATGACAAAGTGATATATTTTTGTTCTAGAAATCTGGGAAAATCCAGTTTATTCAGCCCTGAACAAGGCATACTAACTAAATGCATTCATTTTGAGGCACCAGGCATACTTGAAACACTCATTTATTTTTCACAATACTTTAAGCATCTATTCGCTTCAGTTCATACTTTCTGTTTCGGTTTCTGACTTTAGAAGCCATCACAGTAGAAATACAAAACTACCAGTATTTATTTAAAGAATAATTTAACATTTTTTACTAAAAATACAAGAGGCTAAATATGATTGGTTGTCAAAAAAGCAATGATACTTGAACATGTAATGATATTTGGAGACATTTTTAGTAAGATTTTTAGTACATGTAGCATGCTCTTTATTTAATATATTCCTCAATCCCATTCACACAATATTTGTATAGAAATCATTGCACATTCTCAGATATCATATATTCTATGTATCTCGTTTTTATTTATTGAAGTTAGCTTACTTTCTATTTTATTTTATTTTATATATATTCTACAAGTAGTTGCCATTTTATTTTATTTTATTTTTTCCATCAAAACATACAAAGTTACAACTCAGAATCATATGGTGAACTATGCTCTGCCCAGATCATAAACTACTTGTGCAAGGAACAGATATTTATTGTAGTTACAAGTATTTCAGGTCCTCATCAAAATTTTCTCGTAAAGGCTTTCACTTTCATTTTACACTAGCACTACAACTTTCTACCCCAATAGAAGAAAACTTAGCTAAGAAACACCCAGCCAACAAAATCAAAATGGAAAAACTAATGAACCTGATCACATTTGAAAAAGGTTAAAAATCTGACAGGAAATCAAAATTGAACAAGATCAAGGAGTTGTGGGCAAATGTCAGAATACATTCCCTTTTCCAATTCTCACTAGAAAATAGTAAGCATCCAAATGAAAGAACCTCCAAAACAAACCTAGGTTTCACTTATCATTTGACCAATATATATATATATATATATAAATTAAGAAATAAATAAATATTCATAAAATGACATTTACAAAGGATAATCTAGCACAAATTGAAGAAACCCACAAACCTGGGTTGCCTTGGATCTCCTCAATCCATTTAGAGAAACCCAGATCGTCAGAACCAGCTTCCAAATCTACAACAACAAAAACACAACCATCACAAAGAGTGATAGTTAGATACACATAAAAAAATACAGATACAGATACAGATACAGCCCCATTTGGTGATGTTCATCTTGTAGTAGACCTGAGACAGAGACAGAGACAAGTGGGTTTGATGGAGATCCAGCCAAACCAGCCTTTAGGAGGGCATAAAAGATGCAAAGCCTGCCAGCCCACAGAAGAGGGGTCTCGAGCAAGGAAGCATGTACTCCTCCTCCTCTTCTGGTGTTGGGTAATCCACTCCTCCTACCCAAACACATCCCACTTCCCCCTCCATGATTATTATTATTATTAGGAAAGAGGGTTTTGGACACCAAAGCAGGATCAGCACTAGTAGAATTCAGATTCAGATTCTTGAGGTAGTAGTACTTGGTTATGGTGGTTGTAGCTTGAAAAGGTAATGTGAAGCTAGTAGTGATCTGCAGAATCATCTCTTTGTTAGGAGACTTTTTTTTCTTTGTTAGGAGACTGACTGAAAATGCAATCTAAAACAAACAATTTACTGATGATGTCTTGTGTTGTGTGTACATTATCCGTATCTAATAAGTGGGTCGGGATGGGTAGGATTGGGTTGAAAATAAATTAGTTATTTGAGAAAAAATAAATTAAAAAATTAATAAGATAAAATGTGATATTTAAATTATAAAAAAAAATTATAAAAATTTAAAAAGTTAATCTAAATAAATTTTTTAGTTCCAAATTAAAATGTCTTAATTTTAAGAAGTCAATTAAATTTTTTTTTGTCAAACGATGACATAGGCATATTTTGAAAAATAGGTTAAAAATTAAAGGAAATATCATTTTAATCCCTTAACTTTCACGCATTTTTTAATTTAACCTCCAAATTTCGATTAATATTAATTTTACATCCAAACTTTGAAATTATGATCAATTTGGCCCTTGCCATTACATTCTGTCTACAATTAGACGGAATGTACTGACGTGACACAAAAAATTCATTTGAAATTTCATTTTACCCTCCAAACTATACTTTAAAAATCAATTTGCCCTCTAAATTAAAAATTAATTTGCCCCTCACGTCAGCACATTTCGTCCAATTGTAGAAGGAATGTGACGGCAGGGGCCAAATTGATCAAAATTTTGAAAGTTTGGTGTAAAATTGATATTAATGGAAGTTTGGAGGTCAAATTGAAAAATGCGTAAAAATTTGGAGAGCAAAATGATATTTTCTCTAAAAACTAAGGCATCATTTGGCATAAATTAAAGAAGTGCACCTTTCTACTTTTGTATATATCTTTTTGTAAAAAATTAAAAAGTACAATTATTTAAATCATCCCAAACAATCCCTAACGTTTTAGCTTTTTTAATTTTTTAAAAAATATATATACAAAAAATAAACAAAATAATAAAATCTAAAAACACTAACAAACTAAAATATTAATTTTTAACGAACTTTTCAAAATAGACCGAACATTTCACTGCACTTATTTCCTATTTTTATAAATGTTACGGAATGGTATGGTGATTCACATTTCTTTAAATATTTTCTAATTATAAAATGTGTGTTATCAAAAAAAATATGTAACTTCATTTCTTAATTATAAATTATGGTAATTCTTACTAGAAAAATAAGTAATATTTATCACAAATTACGTATCATAACACAAAAGGTAAATTACACTTACACCCTCTGAGATTTGAATTTAATATATATCACCTCCTAATATTTAGAAAATTACACTGACTCCCCTGTCATTGTAATTATTTAGATAGAATTAACGCTAGTATCAAAAAGACATTGAATTCATACACTTTCTCTTTTATTACTTTGCTTTGCTTTTTTCTTTTTCTTTTTTTCTTTCTTTCCTTTGCTTTACTTTTTTTTCCAATGTAATTTCCTCCGTTTTTCTATTAGGAGTCGTTGCCTTTTATATAAGTAGGAGGTTTGGTATTAAAATGACATTGAATTCATACACTATCTTTATTCTTTCTTTGTTTTACTTCTTTTCTTTTCTTTTCTTTTCTATTTTTCCTTTGCTTTACTTTTTTTTCCAATGTAATTTCCTCTATTTTTCTGTTAGGAGTTGTTGCCTTTTGTAACCCCCCCAAAATATAACCATAAGTTCAACCCAAATATATATGAATAACTGCATGAATCAGAATGTAAAGTTTTTTCATTTCATAATGCTAATAGTACAAAAGAGTTTAGCATAAATAAATACTCAATAGGCTGACACATTTCCAAGTCTTGGCTTGGTTACAACAAAAGTGAGACTAGCTCATACAATTTAAGCCCTAGGCTATACAAAAAGTGAAACAAGACAAAGAAGCTCTTGCTTCTCAAAAGTCCCTCCAATGCTATTGCCTTGGTGGAGGTATGCCATCATTACCTGAAAATATTTTTCCCAAATAGGATGAGCCACAGCCTAGTAGAAATAATCTAACGCAATACGCATAAACAATGCCTGTGATAAAATATTCACATTTTATATAGTCATAAGGTACCAAATCCAAATCTTAATCCATTTCTATTCAATTCATTTCAATACATGAGCCAATTTCATTATTTCTCAATAACCCAAATGAGACTACAACTCAATGGTTCTACAATCACATCATTAACACACAAACACTTCAATTTGTCATTTTACGAAAATTTCATCCGCGGGATCGATACTCATGTATAAATTTTGGAACTTTCACCCAGGACACTCCGGCTAACTTAATTATAATGGAGTTCATCTCCTTTCTCCTCCTAAACAGTGGAGTACATTCCATCTCTCCTCCCAAACAATCATGCATATGCAATGTATTTAAACACATAATCAACACGGAGTACATCCCCTTTCTCCTCCCAAACAATCATACATATACAATGTATTTACAACATGATCATATTCAATGATAACCTACCATGGATTAGTTTTAATTCACCTAATCCTCATGTAATTTCTACAACAATCATAGTTATCCTCTACCGATAGCCGAATACAGTTATTTCTAAACAGATAACCAATCTAAAGATATATATAAATATATATTATTTAAAATTTCCAAAGATGAGAAGTATCATCTACTCTATTCCACCATGTATGTCAATACTTGTTCAATTTCATATTTACAACACTAATTTCATTTATTTATACAAAATAAATATCATAATCATTTTAAGGCAAACTCCATCTTTTCTCAAATATCAACCAAGTACCAAAATCAACAATTTTGACACCATACAACATCATTTTCAAACCCTACAATCATTTTCTTCTCATTCACCACAAACTCCTTTTTTCATTTTACACCAAAATCCTAGGTTTGTTCACATTACCCCCAAATCCCACCATTATTACACAACAACAAATAACTAAATTAAAAACCATATTAAAGTGTAGAAAATCCCTACCTTAAGAAGAAAAGACCAATCAAAGCAAAGTAGAATCCTCAACAACACCGAGACCACGTTCCAATCAAATCAAAATGAAGCTCTTGGAATACTCTAACTTTTTCTCAAAGACACTAGGGTAGAGAACCCAAAGGGTCTAGGCCAAAATGTAGAGAGAGAGAGAGAGAGAGAGAGAGTATTTTAGAGAGAGGGAGTCAAGATCTAGGTTTTTGAAAAGTTTTTGAGAGAGAGAAGAATGAAAAAATAATATAAAATGTCATTTTCATGATCTAATATACGTATAGTCCGTTCGAGCGGAAGAGTTGACGCTCGCGCGTCAGATACAAAAAATTGTTTAGCTCGAGTGCAATAAAGGCCGCTTGAGTGCCAAGACACAAGGAATGCTCACTGCTCGAGCACAAGAATTCTCCGCTCGAGCATAGAAAACACACATCTAGAAGTTTTGCAGACAACAAGGCAACGCTTAAGCGCAGGAAAGGCTGCTCAAGCGTCCACTCACTCGAACGTAGGAAACGCTGCTCGAGCGTAGAAACCACTCTCCCAGTAGTTTTGCAGACCTGCAGAGTACTGAGAGTTTGTAAAGCCCGCTCGAGCGCAAAAATGGCCGCTCGAGCGGAGGAGCAAAAATCTGGGCAATAAAGGTTTGGAAAAATAAGTAGCCAACCTGTTCCAAACACACAACCCCAACCCGACAACCAAAAATAGAGGGGAGAACAAGGAAACAAGATATGAATCACCATTCAAAACTATACAAACCCGAGTCCAGAATACAACAAGTGACGGGTCAAAACCGAAATCGCTATACCTTTTATATAAGTTGAAGGTTTGTAAAATGAGATTATTAACTACATGGGTGGGAATGCAATTTTCCAAACGTTAAGGAGTGATATGTATTAAGCCAAATCTTAGCAAGTGTCACTGTAATTTACCCAAACACAAAAATATATAGTACACACTCTTAGAAAGATGTATACCATAAAATTTATCATATATATACAATTGAAAAAGAAACATTGTAATAGAGTCATCAAAATAGAATCAGAACAGATCACATGAATTGTTAGAGCACGGTTGCTCAGACAATACCTATCCCATATCCATATATAATAACTAGAGTAAATTATATCCATAGTTCTTGTATTTTAATTCTTATATTATTTTGATCTGTATAGTTTTAATTGGTTCAATTTTGATGTCGAATTCATGATTTTTTCTCAATTTAGTCCGATTGATTATAATTGTTAATATTTTTTTATAGAAAATGCGCACATGAAATGCATGTATCATGTTTTTAGAGATAAAATTGTAAAGTTGATCAACTCTGTGAGTTAATCTCAACCAACTCAGTAATTAATTTTTGTTAAAAACCCTAATGATGTTATCAATTAGATATAATGAACACAAAATTTAAAGGGATAAATTATAGTAAACCCCCTTAAACTATGACTCGTTTGCACTTTTGCCCCCATGAACTTCAAAATGCAATGGTTGACCATCTTGAACTATTATCTTGTTACACATTAACATTTTCTGTTAGAATTCTATCACGAGATTTAAACAAAATTAGGTCATACACATGACACATTTATTGAGTTTTTGAAGACAATAATACTCGTTATTGATTTTTTTACAACAATTATACCTTATTTACTAATTCCATTTGCATTTTGTCTCTTTTTATTTTAGTGGCAAAATGCAAATAAGATCACCAAATAAGGATATTATTGTCCTAAAAATTTAATAAATATGTCATGTACTTTACATATAATATGATTTTGTGTAAATTCCTAATAGAATCTTAACAAAAGGGGTTAACTGTATCAAGGTATAACTGTTGAGGTTTGAAATTCATGGGGGATAAAATGCAAATGAGGCATAGTTTAAATGGATTTACTGTAATTTATCTAATTTAAAGTTAAGGATCAAAATTAAACTAATTAAAAGTGTAAAAATCAAAATGACACAATAGATATAATATAGAAACAAAATTTATCCAAATAACTGTGTTAAGACATAAATAAAAGTAAAATGATAAATTATAATGACCTCTCGGGAGAAACTATCAAATTACAACTAGTCCCTAACATATTCAAATATTAGATATTTATATTCACGTAACACTAACGCAATTGTTGGAGCATCTCAACCGACCTTG